GGGGTGGTGATGGGCATGATGAAAAGCCTGTGGGGGAGGTTGTGGAGCCTGCTCAGGGTGGTGGTGGGGATGGTGAGGTGCGTGTTGTCAATGGTGACAGAGCTGCACTGCATGCAAATGGCATACCAAGTGAGTTGATCACCCCGCCACCCAAAGCACACCACTATTGGTCGCCTTCACCTTCCTACATGGCTCCAAAAAGACCCCCAGGTGGTTGTCTGGTCACAGCCAGCGTGAATACTATGGGTCACAAGGCAAGTCATGGTGGGGTTCGGGATATGACTACAACTACTACCCGGCACATTACTCCCAGTACTGGGACCATCAGCGGGACCGTACCGTTTATGCCTACGGTCAGGACAGTTGGATTTCCTCGTGGAAGAACCCTGGATCTTGGGAGGGCTGGGGTTGGCGATCAAGCTCGTCATGGGATGAGTTTCAAAATCTTGATGACACCCCTGCACCCGATGAGCACAAATCCCGCGAAGACTTGTCAAATGAGCCTGATGATGTGCGCAAATTGCGCGAAGCTTTGCAACAGCGGCAACCAACAATTTCTTTCTCTCCGCTTGGTGATGAACAACCACTTGGGACCGAACATCCTGAGCATCAAGGCACCACCGAGCCCGGACGCCACGGTCAGGAGGAGGATGAGGAACCTGAGGAGCCCGGGTGTGAGGGGAAGACTTGGAGGACTGACAAGTACGGAAGGCCATTGAACCCTACTGCATTGTACATGAGATTCTACCGGCGAATCAGGAGCACCTTGTTGACAATTCTTGGACATGTTTAGAATGAATGCTTGCTCCAAACGTCTAAGCATCCACCAAGCACAAATTCTCCCCATGCGTTGCAAGGTACCAAGAACCCTGTGCCACCTGAAATTGCGGAGAAACGGGCTGAGGCTGATATGGGAGCCTTGGTTACCTCAGCCCATCAGTTTTAATAATGTGTGTCTTTTTTTCAAAATTTAAAAGTGCCCTTTTTCAGTGTTTTGGTGCCCTCTTATAAGTACAAAAAGGGCACCAATATACTGTGAGATGTACCGGTTCTTCTAAAGACTCACCACTACAGTGCATTGCAAGTTCAACTCATGCACCCTTTAGAGGGCAGATCTGGAGTTTCTCACAGCATGTCCTCCCAACTAAGAACAACATGGCAAAAGCAAGATGCATGAGCTCTACCTTGGCTGGTTGTCTTGCAAGGGATCTTGGGAGAAGTGCGCTCTTGCAATACGGGTCTCCAAGAAGAACTTTTCGGACCATGAAGATTTGTTTGAGTTCCTACTCAAAACTGATCTGGTGAAGCATCTTGGGGACGAGGCCCTGGCCAATGATCTTGTAGATCGACATGTCGAGGCTGAGAAGAAACTGCCTCCCAGGTCCAAGGGGCGGTTCATCAAGGTGAATCTAGGCAGGCATTTGTGGTGCACCAAAAATGTCAAGTCATGGAGCACACACATTACAGCTCTAACATGCTGTATATGTTTTATTTATTTTGCTGTAGTGGAACACCAACACGCATCCACCGTGCTCAGGAACCCAGACTTCCCACAGCGGCAGGAACTTTGGAGGTACAAATGCTGGGTGGGCGCCAAGGAATCCAAGAAACAGCGTCATGAATCTGAAGCTACCTTGTCCAGAACTGCGGAGGTTGAGGAGGATAGTTTCTATGACACCATGTGCCCAAGCATATTAGATTCTGTATTGTTTCCTCATTGTCTCCTGATCACTGGTGAAGATGCCTCCAGTGTTCATGACTTTTGCGCAACTGAGGGATAACGTGATGAAGGATGATGGATTCGATGCTCCGGCCGCCCCTAACATGAGGCCACCACCGCCACCTAAGCCAGACAAAACTAAGAAGGAAAAGACTGTGAAGCAACAGTTGGAAGCTGCACCCTAGCTTTGAAGATCCATGCATGGCATTCCATGATCATATTATGTCCTCATACATCAACAGACAATGCTTGGTTTTGAGGTGTGTCTTGGGAATGGTTTGGGGATCATGTGGCTGCAACCTTGCCCATCAACCCTATAAGGCAGTTGGAGCAGCGAACAAATGTCTGACTGACGGCCAGCTTGTCGCGGCCAAGCTCAAGGCGGCAGGTGAGGCAACCGTGTGTCTTGGCTGCATGGACATATCATTAAATGATATTAAATGAACATGTCGTGCGTGAACCGCTGCTTGTTCTACCCCCTAAAGCCATCCTCCCCAAAGCCCTTGCCCTGAGCCTTCATGCCAGGAGCACAGGTTACAAGGCTGCGCTCTCGGCCGACCTGGCAAGTCATACGAAACGGTTGGAGGATGCGAAGAATCAAGGTGTGAGGATTTTGGCTAGTCAAGAAGGCTTTCAAACCGGCCTTGTGGACCCTCAGCTGAACTGTCATGTATAGTATAGGGATCAAAACTCCGCAGAAAGCATTTACTGTAGATTTGAGTGCCCATGGAGTTTGCCTTAATGGTGTGCGTATTCTGAGGATTTGAACAATGCGCTGACCACCTTCAGGAAGGTTTCTAGTACTGTGAATGGGCATCTGAAACCGAAAGCCAAAGCCAAAGCCAAATCTGGCAGCAAGGCCGCAAAGAGTGCGGCACCGTAGTGTTTTCTCGAAGGGCGCAATTGAACACCGATGCGCTTCAATATCTTTTGGGGTCTCGCAACGTGCATTACAGCTGAAGCCCGGTTTGCGGATAGAACTCACCCACTGGTAGCTGTCAGCCAAAAAAACTGTTAAGGGCTTTCTGGATGAGGGCTGTGCAGTCACGTTGAAGCGCCCTCAACACAATTAGATTAGGAGTCTGTGAGCGTCGGAGGCCATTGAGCACTATTGTAGTGTGTGCTACACATGGCCATGCATGTGACAATGAGTCAGCGCATCAATCTTGCCTTGTTTTTCTGGCCTGATGCTACTCACAGAAAATTCTGATGTTGAGGCGTATTTGGCGTATTTGGGAAGCTTGAGATCAAGCGACAGGGTGGGAAAACTGTTTGGCTGCATTCGGGCACAAGCCTGGCATTCAACAAACCTGTAGTGTGACGGCTTAAACCAATTCATCAAATTCAGTTGCCAACACGTCTAGGGACAAACAGTTGAGCTACACCTAGGCCTGGCAAGATCAACATGGAACCTGAACATGGACTTTTGGAAGATCGACGTGTTTCCTCCACACACCGAGGTGGTTTTAGGGCGGGTTTACATCAGAGCATCCCCGACGCAGGTCATGCAGTGGCCTCGTCAGGGTCCAGCAATGCTGACTTCGCTTCGAGCCTGCTTCGTGGCTGGGGTGAGGTGTTTTGCTTCGTGGGTGCGGCATCGTCGGATACTGTTGGGATTGATTGTGATTCCAGGGTAACCCACCAAACATGGCCCATGTGTCGTACATAAACATCGTTGTTTGATCGTGTGCTGCTTTGAGGCTTGATCGTTTGGGGGGAGGCCGCGAAAGTGCAATAAGCGCTGTTCAACAAGCCCAAGCTGTTGTGAAGGACACGGATATTGCTTCTTTAAACTGTTGAACATGAAGCGGCGATTTTAATTCAATGTTTTGTTTACTGGTTGAACATTCCACAAGCCAAGAGGTTCCATACCTCAAGCCCGTATGTTTGGTCATATTCTGGCAGGAGGCAGGGGAAGCAAATTGCCATCCTGTGACCAACCGCATAGCCAAGATCGCCCGTGTCAATGAGAAAGTTCACCATCGGGATCTTTTCAGATTCATTCGCTTGCCTTTGGACACAGTTTGGGTGGAGTGCCCAGTCTGCGATGCTGGATCTGACCCTGCGTTTCAAGCTGTGTATGAGCAACCTCTTCCAATGTACGACCCACATGAGATGTTGGACTACTTGTACTCCACTGGTCGCATTTGGGTCTCCGATGATGAAATTCAGAGCCTTGACACCCATCAGAACATTTCCTCCCAAGCCCAAAAAAGCACATCGATGCAATTTCCTTTAAAGTATACGACTCAAGAGTCACAACACCATCGACTTTTTTGCCCCAGGAGATACTGGCATCATTGGACTACCGTGGCTGATGCTGATTGGGCGCGTCGTCACCCAGGTAAGGGTTGTTTTCCTGTGTGTATTTATGGGGATGAAGCAAGATACAACCTGACCTACGGCGACAAATTCATAGCCTTAACCCTTGGATCACCCTTGGTGCAAAAAGCAGGTTCCCTGGAAAGAACTTTAGAATTTTTGTGACGTGTCAGATCTTTATGGCCATATGATTATGTTTGGTGGTTTCTAGTTGCTCTCATGTGAGGTTCAAATGGTGAGCACTTTTTGTTCTTCATAGTATCATCGGCCATAGCAGTGGGAGTCTATGGAGTCGAGTCTTGGCCCACAACGCCTGTGAACTGGGTCCCTGCCTATGTAAAGTTCACAGAGGAAGCCATGTAGGATCAGATCAAACGACCTGTAGCACGTGGCATGCGCTTCGGGGTTTCACAGACTTGACTGAGGACACTATGAGACCTATCCTCAAAAGAGCTGCGTGGAGCTTGAAGTTGGCATTGCAGGGGAGGCGCCCGCAGGCAAACATAGCTTCTTCTGAAGGGTTTGAACTCACCCGACGGGAAAAACTTTCTGCTGGCAGTACTATGTCCACCAAGTTTGCAGTCACCGAGTTCAAGGGCGATTGGGCATGGCACAAATTCTTTTTTGAAATCGAGCCTTACTGGAAGCGCGGGGACATTTGTTATCGTTGCCACGCTGCCCGGATATCCAGGCATGGGGGTTCGAGGTGATAGAAAAGCTAGAAAAGCATCGCACTGATATTCAATGCAAGATCACAGAATTAAAGTCCAGACCACCAACACGATGGTTTTCCATGGTGTTTTTTAGTGGAGAGTGGAACCCATCAAATTATATCCCTGTAGGTTTGGCCATCTATTCACAGACTTTGCAATGGATTGGAGCCAACTTGCTCGAAGCACCCATGATTTCCTCACGAACTGCATTCCTGCACAGCAGAACCACCTGGTCAACATCCCTGGGTTTCATGTTGATATGCTGAGTCTCGTCATTAGATGATGTGTTTTCAATACAGGTTCCTTTCCAACAAGTCAGCGGGTAAACATATACATATTCAACAACAGTCCCTGTACCAAGGAGACATTGCTCCATGCATGTCTGCAACCTTGGTCTATTTCATGTGTTGAATGCTGAAGGGCTGACAATTCTTGCAGAACACCGTGCTTCGAGAAGGGGCTGCACCTTTCGAGAGTCTTTAGACCACCTCTATGCAGAGTTTCGACAGTTTTGCACCAGGAACAAAATCAAATGCTCGCAAAGGAGGTTCAAACTTCACAGTGTTTCAGCCAAAGGACTACCTGAATACATCGTTTTGATCACAAAGGCTTTCAACGCTAGAGTGATTCTGGGCTATGTAGCCGTTCCTTTTTTGCATCAAGCATTGTCGCTTATTTCCCCAAAGATCTGTCAAACATGTTTTGTCTCTATAGTTCGTGTTCGACACACCGTTTCCTGATACCACTTCCAACCCCCCCAGGATGCTTTGAGCAAGGCACGGGATGAGTTGATGCGCCAACGGCCCATGGAAAGTCACAACACGTTTGTGAATCGAAAGCAGCTGTGGTCTATTGGACTTGCAACAGTGTGCCCTGTATCTCCAAAGGATCAGTTCTCTTTCAATCATTTAGGTTATTTGGTGGGCTTGTCCACCCCATAAACATGGCCAAATGGAATGCACCCGAAAAACATCAAGTGATAACATGGCCTTGATTTCAGGTGTACCTTTGCGGAGTGGCAACGCTTGACGGAACTTTTCCCTATCATGTACCTGACTAGCTCCCAGAGCCAACAGCTTCACGATCTTGCGCTACAGGGCTGTCACTTTTGGCTTGCGGCTGCATGGGAAGCGAGCCACCAAGGCCTCCTAAGATGGTTGGTACTTCCCAAATTGCATTTGTACAACCACATGGCTTTGGATTGCAAACGGTGGAAGTGCAACGTGCGTTCTTACCACTGTTTCAGTGGAGAGGATTACATGGGGTATTTGAAGAAAGTAGTCCAATCAACTTCCACTGGGGTGAAGATGGAAGAAAGGGCCCTAAAACGGTCTCTTTTGAAGGTTGTGGCAACAGCCCCAGCTGAAATCTCGAACCTCTCAGCTCGCAGATGAAAAAAGACAGAGCGTTTTTGAAGGCTTTTCCATGCATGTTCTTGATGTGGTTCATCGCTGGGAGCCTAGTTCCAACTCTGCCCGGAACTGGGGGCTGGTTACCTGGGAGACAGGGCCCCAGGATGAGTTGGGAATAGTAAAGCAAATCTACCTGGACCTTCAAAGGGGTGTCCTGTCTGGAGATCCCTAGGTAGTGGGCTGGGGCGAAACCAGCCAGGTGACACCCCATCACCCCCTCTTTAAATCGGTGCTGGTATACATAACCATTCCACCCGTTTGAATCCTCGACCGTAGGCGCTCTCCCCTTTTCGCTTTGCTCCTGGACCCCGCGCCTCGCAGGTCGGCCCGGGCGACGCCTTGCGCGACTTCTTCGTGGCGTCGCTCGCCGGGCGGCGCTGCGTCGTGCCCCTCGGGCGCAGACGACGGGAGCGGGCGCGGGCGGTGGCTGTGAGTGAGTCGGCGAGTGGAAAGAGAGGAAGACGGACGTCCTTGAAGTCATGGAAGCGAAGTGGAAGTGGATGGCATGGGATGACCGTTTTCATACCAAACAGTTGTTAAGCATGGTGATTTGTCCACTTCCATGTGTCCTTTTCGGTTTGTGGCTGGGGGTATGGAACCTTGAATGTGATCATGTTGATGGAAGAGGCCTGGAAACCTTGTGAAACTGCAAATGGTAATTAGTTAGTCCTTTTGCATTTGCCCAGTCTCTTTTTGACAAAATCGACCAAAGATCCCATCATGCAGAGTTGCTAAGTCTCCTTCATCAGCGTATACCTGCTATAGCTTCCTATTCTGAACCCTCCATGGCATTCTCACACGTGACACGGCCAAGCCAACACGCGGAGACAACTTCTTTTGCACCGATAAAATGTTCGTCATTCTTCATCCTTACCTTTCACCCTCCTTCAACCACGCCAGACACCACCCCAAGTAATACGTACCACCCACCCACTCCGGTGACCGGCCGTGTCTCTCCCAAAACGACCTCCACTCCGCCGCCTCCAGGCCGGACGGCGTCTGGCGCGAGGCGCCCGTGGCGGAGCTCTTCGCCAGCGGCCTCGACGGGCAGCGGCAGCGCCGGGAGCGGACGTTGGGCTCGGGGCACCTGGAGTCGATGTTGGTGTGTAACAAGCCCAGACGCTCATGGGACTGCCATATATATATATGCCTACATTGACTACATTGGGGTGGTTTGGGGTGGTTTAGGCACGTGGCCTCCTCGCTCGCGGTCCTCCTCGCGGGCGGCTACGGGGCAACTTCGGTAGCAAGTACCCGGTGTGGGTCCCTATGGAGCTGGTAGACAGGTGCAGGTGCATGGGAGGGTGGAGTCTGGAGGTGTATGCTGGGGGGCTGGATGCCGAAGGCAAACCCAATCCAGTCCTACGGGTCTGGAGCCTCCGGGTGTTTTGTGTTTGTGCTTCTGCTGGTGTTTCTGCTCAAAGGTGGGGGCGGGACGCGAGCAACCCCGTTCTACACCTCAATCGGTGGACATTGAGGTGCACTTCTTTGGGGGTTGTGCCTCTTCCATCTTTTGTGTCGTTGGGGTCAGCAGTCGTTCCTGGCCAGAACGCTGCTGTGACGTCTGGAGGGGGTGGACTCGGCGGGGGTGTGGTTGGTGTTTCAGGCCCGACGATGTTCGGCACTTCGGGAGTGGCTTCGCCAGGTGGAGTGCTTTCAAGCGCTGAGGGGAGTGGAGGTGTTGCGTCTGCCGGTTCGAAGAGTGTGTCTAGAAGAAGGATGGTTACGGGGGGACAGGTTCCATCGGGGTCGCGGCACTTGCGACAGCTGATGGCCCATGAGGAGTCTTCCGGGCTACGTGCGTCGGAATCGCCTGCGTCGAACGGTCAAGAGCTTTCAGAAACTTTCGGCCCGCCCCGCAAACACAAGATACATCGGTGGAATTGCACTAAGGCCCAACGTCGGTTAGGTGCCCGCTCGTGTTCGGTTGCCGGTCGGGTTCGTTTCGGTCTGCTTGCCTGGAATACCCGAGGTTTAGGGGCTAGCTTTTCGGGTACCTGTCCGGGCACTACTGAGGTTGCGGGGCTGGCATCGCCAGAAGATCGGCCCACGGAAACTCCGGGTGGTTGTGCCTGATGTTCCCAGAACGAGTCCTATACGGACTCGTAGAGGCTTCTCTCTCCTGCCTGTTGCCTTGGTTGTTGGTGTTCTCACGCCCGGCTGGGAGCCCTGGAGCGGACCCGCTCTGTTGCTTTCACGGCTTTGCCTGCCTGTCGTCCGGCTGCTGAAGGGGAAGGAGGGGCGGCTGCATGGGGAGGGGCACCGGCTAGGGGCAACGGCGCGGGAGGAAAGGGCAGAGGAGGCAAAAGGGTGGGGGAAGGTGGGAGGGCACCCCCCCATACCCATGTGGTGAGCAGTTTTGGTGAGCGGCCGGGGTGGTACCTACCTAAGCTGCGCAGGAGCGCGGCAGAGTCGGCAGGGCAAACTTTGTTGTCTCCCGTTAAAGCAGCGCAGTGAACCTAAGGACATGCGTCATTAGGTTTAGTTTGGCTTATATGTACCCTCTCTTTTGAGGAATAGCGCCGGACCGGGGCGCCCATGGAGTGCGGAGACTTGTGTGCACTATCGGGGTCAACCTTATAGTTGTTGCGCTACCTTCCCCGATCTCGTTCGTTCGTTCAATGTAGGCATATATGGCAGTTTGGGAAGGGCATGTGTGTTTTGAGTTTTAGCCAAGGTGTTTCAGTTATGAGGTTTGGTTGTTAGATAATCAACTGGTGCTTGCACTCTTGCACTCTTGGAACCTAGTATGGAGTGAGATTCGCATGGGGCAGTGTCGCAGATCCATGCAGATCCCACACTCGCGGATTCACAAAAGGTGCAGGTACGTGCACCATTTTGGCGCGTAAGCTTACAATGTCCGATCATCTCAAGCTAATTTTAACATGTCGGATCAGCGCACATACCTAAATCTCATTTCATTGTGAAGGTGCCAGGCACCGCACATTGCCTTGGCGCTCGCCACGGTGAGCATCACTCCATCGTTTCGGCCTCAAACACTTTGCTGCGGCCTTCGATCGACTAAAGTCCCAGAGGAGGCTGGCTGTGCCAGCCCGGGCTCCTGGCCCATATCCTCTGAAGGTGGTTGGACCATGTTAGACCCCCAAAACCCACTCCAACCACCTGCTCAGGCGGTCGTTGGAGCGGGCAGACTGTCCGACCATTCCATGGGACTGCCGTCTATTGACCGATCAGTTTAGGGGTGGTGGCAGGCAGGTCAATGTAGGCATAGATTCCAGTCCCACGGATGGTTTGGGAGGGGTCGAAATGGCACAGTCCGATCGTGAACCGAGTGTCACTCAGAAAAACCCGGGTCAGGGTGTCTTGGTCCAACTCCAATCCGACTCTACCAGGACCATCCAAATCGTTTTTGTTTTGGATACCCTATACCCGATGTCCATTGAACACCGATGATCCATGATGATCCATTGAAGGAAATCCCGGCTGAGAAAAGCAAGTTGCTCATCATGTCGCATCAGACCTATACTGCCCACGAGCCGAACTCGGCATCACTCGCGAGGCAAGGCCTATCGGCACTTCAGCAGTGCCGGCGTGTCCCCAGAGGCAGGGATCATATTCACTGAAATGGATGATCAATTAAATGGACTTTATTACACAACCAAATGCTTTAAATAGGTTTCAACAAATTTTAGTGTTCCGGTTTGGGATCACTTTCCCCACCAGGGCAGCCCAACAGCTCAGTAGACGAGCAAATGCCAAGTAAGTTTGGGGAAAGTCTGCAACAGACTTTTTGTGGCGGGATTTGTCAAGGGATATCAAGAATCATGAAGCTTCCTGGACTACGTGTACCCAACTTGGAAGTTCCAGGATACCCCAGGATACCCCTGAACACATCCGCTCACGTTGCACTAACACTCCCAAAACCCAGACCAATTCCACCTGGTAGGATATATGGAGACGTCCTCCATCTCGACCCACTGGACCGAGCCCACCACGAACCGAGCCCACCACGAACCGCCCGCCCGCGCGCGCGGGCTCGGTCCGCCTAGGCGGCCTTTCAGCTCCTGGACGCCGACGGCGACGGCGAGGTCACCGCGCACGACGTCGCGGAGGCGGAGGCCGCGCGGCGCTTGGAGCTGCCCAAGGACCGGCTGAGGCGGGTGAAAGCACCGAAGATGGGAGGAGTGGGAGAGCAAAAATGGGGGACACTTCGGTGTTTTTCAGTACATGGAGTGGGAGTCAGGAATCGTGGGAGTCAGTATATGTCTAAACTCCATGGTGAGATTGTGCTCAAGTACTTGGAATGATGGCTGGCAAGTGATTGAAGCTCATCAAAATGACTATATTTTATGACTTTTCATTGATGATAAGTGACAATTACAAGGCCTCTTCATGTGGGGGGAAAACAGAACAGACTCAAGAGTCCAAAATTAGAAGCGTTCATGACTGTTCTCCTCTCTTCCTCCTCCACAGATCTCCACAAATCTCCACAGGCTCTTTGAGACCTTGGACACGGCCAAGCGTGGCTCCATCAGCGCGGAGGAGAGCTTTCTCGGTCGAGTGCCGTTTGTCGGGAGTGCCGTTTGTCGGTCGAGGTGGGGAAGAGTGCGGCATAGCAGGCCTGGCCAACAGAGTAACTATAGTTAAGTTCCCCCCTTGACTCGGGTCTTTTTGACATTTTTGCTGAAGGAATCGCTTACAGAAGGGGAGACTTTGTGGGTTTTGATACGGGCAGCGGCAGAGAGGAAATGCATGGCTCCACTGCATAGAAAGTGAACCTTGATGAATCATTTCCTACCTATAGCCTATAGACCTATACCCTAAGGGCTACTCGATTTCGGGCTACTAACGGAGAAAAAGACAGATGTTCACCACAGCAGAGCCGTGCAGATCATGCAGATCATTAAAACGAAACACACACACACACACACACAGCATTTCCCAGGAGTGGATGGCCGCATTTGAAATTACTCGGCCCGGGGCCCGTGCGGATGACGCTCGCGTGCTCGTGTTGGGAGCTCTGGGTGTGAGCAGGGGCTTTCAGCGCTTTCAGGCTTGGAGCCGCAGAAGGAGCGGAGTCTTTTTGAGGGAAGCCCCTCAGAATCACTTGAGCCAAGACAAAGAACTTGTTGCGGTCCCTTCATCGAAGTCAAGTCTGGAGATGTCTTGAGTAGATAGTCCAGGATGTTTGGAAAAGGATGGAAAAAGAACTCACTTGCAAAGGCATTCAATCCAAGATGCAACATTTCACAAGACTGATGGTTGCAATTTAGGATCTCTCATTTCAACAAGGTATGGAAGTATTCTGACATGTTGTGTCTTGTTTCAATCCAACACAAATAACTTACTAGTTCTTTGCATCTTTTGTGATGAAGCGATCATTGCCACATCAGCCTTGTGCCACATCACGTTTGTCCACACCCGTCAAGTGGCTTTAAGCCTCGCTCGCGAAGGCCGCCGCCCGTGGTGAAGCATATGGGAGAGCCTTTGCCACCACCAGAGGAGCAGTCCGACCGACTGTCAGAGATGAGTTTCTGAGGATCTGATGCTGTGGGAAAATCTAACCCCACCAACCAGCCGCTGTCGCGGCCTAGCTATCTTCATGTGAATGTCAAGATTTGCCGATGTAGACTGGAGGCATGTGGAGGCACTTGGAAGTTTGAAGGATGTTAAAGGTGATGGACTCAATCTACACGACGAAATGGTTTCCTCAACCCAAAAGCCGATGTCCCAATGTCCCGGGAGCAGTTCATGAGGAACATTCACCCAGAAAATGCATCTGGAGTCCCTGTTCTTCACATTGCTTTGGGGAGCTGAGTGTTGGTCTTCTGTGTTGGTTGGCTTGGCGAACTGTACATAATAATACAAGCTTATAACATATCTTAACACTGTATATGCACTATTAAGTTGTTCAGCTTTGTTCATGTCTTGTGGAAGGTTCCATCCCCGCCAAGGAAGAAAAGCTGTGTGAACTGGTGTGCTTCCTTGTCGAGTCACACGTTCATTGGCGGCTTACGCCGAGCAGACGTTCACAAGCTCAAGGGTCAGCGAGCACCAGTCTTTTGAGCAAACTTGGACCCTTAAAGGAACTGGGAACGCCAGTTTGGTCCCAAACCATCCCAGACCATTGTTCCAGTGACGGCGTCCAGAGCCGTTGCATCGAGCTCCGCAGGGCTTGCCATTGGACGTGTTGCGTCGCATGGTGCAGGGGCACCTGGAAAAAGGGCGCTGTGCGCGAATGGGTCGACCGTCGATCCATTTCACGAGCGAGGAAGATCCTGTTGTCTTCCATGTGGACTCAACCTGTGATATATCCACGCCGAAGCATCTTTCAGCTCCATGTTCTACTCGCCTTCCACTCCATCCCAGCTCACCGGTCTCGGCCGTGCCGTCCGGTGCGAAGCGTGTCCGTCCGAGGATCGAGTTGGTGAACCACAGCAGCTTTTCGCCTCTGTGGACCTCCGAAGGCCGGTTGGGGCGGGGGAGGCTCCAGAGGCGGAGGCAGACGTGGTTCTGATGAGAAGAGGCATAGTGCTGCATGTGTTTTGGATGAGATTGGTGTTCTTTTTCCGAAAGAAGAGGCGCGCGGTTTTGTTTTTTGATGGATGATTCCTCTATATAGATGGATATAGATGGTTTTGATAGGTTTTGAGATACCAGGCTCGCGCAAGGAAAACAGATGAAAACAGGCAAGTATCCTCCCGAAAAGAAGATGGTGAACAGGTCCTTTTGAAGCTCTGGGCAACAGGTCAGACTTCACAGTCACACATATTGTCAACAAAAACACAAACATACGGCAAATCCTTGGATCACCATCACTATATAGCATACGCTACGAAGGTGACCTCATACCATTACTTTATACCTGCAGGTGTAGCCCGGTTTGGACTGGGCCATCATCATCTCCTCGCAGGGATGCTCTGCCGAAAGCATGTGAGCATTTGGGCACCAGAGCAGTTGGCAGGGGCTCCAAGGCTTGGCGCCGGTTCTGAAGGAGTGCGATGCTTCGCGTGGCTTGCGCGCTTGGGTGATTGCTTGGGCTTCAGTGTTGGATACGCATCATGGCGCTTGTGTGGTTGCTCAGGCTGCTCAGGGTCAGGTTGGGTCAGGTGGCGTGTGAGCTCGTAGTTTGAGGCTCCTGCTCAGGTGCTTTCAAACCATGTCAACTTCAGGGGCCTTCAGACAGGAATGCGAAGGACCAGCTTCCACCGTTTCGGTGAGGTCGCGTTCTACGGTTCGGGGGTCGCTTCTTGGGTTTGTTGGGACACCTGCAGGCCAGGGAATGCCCGGTTCAGACGTGAGACATGACAAGAGACATGAGATGCGCAGCAGAATGTGCACCCAAAATATACTTAAACCTTCCAATCTTATGGTAGCCTGGTGGAGCACCACCGGACTTGTTAGTAGTAGTAGTAGTAGTAGTAGTAGTAGTAGTAGGAGGAGGAGGAGGAGGAGTAGGAGTAGGAGTAGGAGAAGGAGAAGGAGAAGGAGAAGCAGTAGCAGTAGCAGTAGCAGTAGTTGTTGTAGTAGTAGTAGCAGTAGGAGTAGGAGTAGGAGTAGCAGTAGCAGTTGTTGTTGTTGTTGCTTGTTGTTATTGTTGCTTGTTGCTTTCCAAAGTCAGTTCCATGAACTTGTCTAATTTGAGAGGGTACTGAAAGAACCGATCAGGCCAGGAGTTTGATGTTGAGGTTCAAGACGTGTCGTTGATGTAACTTTGCTCAAGTTATTTTTGGATGAAGTGAACATGGATTTGCCGTACTAGTGCTGCTAGGTTCGGCTAGGTCCATGCTCTCATCATGCGTACGGACTGAAAAAAGAAAGGTTTCGACTATATACTGTCCGCTCAGTGTCAAGCAAACCATTGGAGAATTGACGTGATTTTTGCTTCGAACTTGGAACTCTATGCAAAAGAGAATTGGAATCCGGACACATCTTGAAACCATGGCGATTCAATTATATAGTATTGACCCCTTTTTGTTGGGTAAATCTATGCCATACATGGAGTGTCTGGGATATCTGACACCCACTTCATTCCAAGCAACGGACACCGAGGTGTCTGGTCTCATGCGGGTCACAGCGCTGAAAGTGAGCCTGGGCCACTATGCCAACCGCGGGTGCCGTCGCGGAGTGGACGGGCGGTGCCGCGAGCTCCCGGTCCTTCGTTGGCTGAAGAATGGGCACTTGGATCATTCGGATGGGAGTGGATGAGTGATGATGAGTGTTATCTTCAATTTGAAAACGAGTGGAGACCTTAATAACTAGCTGCCAACTTTCTATTCTATAGCCTTTAGAATACATGACACCCCCAAAAGCCTGCTGCTTCAGACCTTCACGTCGGTGCCATGACACCCCCCTTAAGAACTCCAACGTTCTGGAAACATCTCTTCTTCTCTCGGTGCGACGTTCTCATGGGATTCTCGGTTCTCCTGCCCGTTCCGTCTGCAGGTTCTCCGATGCCCGGGGGGGCGATGCTTTGGGCGTGGGACGCCGCTCCATCCTGCAGGCGCGCGGAGACCGCGGCGGTCGGCGAGGGCGGTCCGCGCGGTCTGCGGGAGACTGCGGGGGGGGCGAAGAAGCGGGGGCGCGGGGAGAACGTAGAGAGCGGTGGATTTCCGCATGTGTTCAGGTTTCAACTAATTGTGGATGTTTAATGTTTAACATGTTTTAAAATGTTTTTAACATGCTTTGAATCATTTAACATCCACTAAATCTGACACTATATACTATATACCTGGACCACCCAAGTGCTCCAGAATCATCTGCTCCATGTCCTGGTTGGACATGTTGTTCTTATTCCAGCGTATTTTTCTTTTCTCCACTCGGAGGGTCTCCCTGGAAAAACACGAGAAGATCAGCTACATGTACCTAGGTGCCAGCTTCACCCCTCTTCCACACTCATTGAGGACGGTCACCCGACATGGCCAGGTCCGCGATCGTCGGGCCTTCAGGGGGCTCTCTTCGGACGAGTGCGCCGGCCCTTGGCGACATCCGCGACGCACCGAGAGGACTTCGGTGCGTCTGGGCGGGTTCCATTGGGGGTGGTCTCGGGGGGGGTGGTCCTAAAAGGCTTTTGTGGTCTCAAAATGCTTGGCATTTGGGCACAACTCACCACCTCCTATCCTGGGTGGGTGCTTCTATCGCCAGCCTCCTCCTGGAGATGTTGGACTCTGTGATGAAACCCGCTCCGTCAGATTTGGCTTGGAACTCGTGATGGGCATGCAGTTTCCATGTGTTCTGTACATGTTTGTTGTTCTTCCGCACCTGCAACTCTGTGTTTTGAGAAGTCATTGTGGCCTTTGCGATTGTGGTATGCATTTGAGCATGCCATGCTGTACCCCGCAGCCGCTTCGCTTCGGTGACCCGAAGAGTGGTTGTCACATTTGCAACCAGGCTTCAAAGCCGATCGAGATCATGTCAAGATGTGTTTCTTCCACATCAGTCAGACATAGTCAGACAGTCAGGTCTCAGGTGGATGAAACCCATCGCCGAGAAAACCAGAACACCGGCTCATGAAGCAGTGCCCAATTCGATCGGAGCCCTCCACCGGCACTCGAAGGTACCTCCAAGCGGTGGCGGATCACTATTGCCCGCTGCCCACGCGCTGGCGCCAGGCTGGGGAGAAAGGAGACTTCGGGGGGTCATCGAGTTCGAAGGCTAACGGGTGTAGGTGACGAGGAAGGTGGATAGGTGCTTGGTGTTGCCTCGAGTTCCGGAGCATGGAAGAGAGAAGAGAAGAGAGATGAAGAGAGCACACGCAGACTGGATAGATCGAGTGAGTCACATGTTCACCTTTTGATTGTCAAATGCAGTGACTTGATTTGTTTGATCACCGTTTGATCAGTTTGATCACTTCTCCCACCGGGTCGATCTTTTGGCTAGAATATATGAGTATCCCTTTCAGTTGCCTCATCCACTGACCCAGGGGTACCAGGGAAGCTTCCTTGAAGACCATGAGGTGAGATGTTCGTTACTGAGGGTCGAGAGTCCAGAAAAAAAGAAAAAGTGGATGAAGTATTTGTTTTGTGAACTGTTGAGTGCCTCTTCAATGTAAACGTTTCTTAAAGCATCATGAGCTTCGGGCTTCCGGACTGGAATCATTCGTCAACAGATCATGTTTGGCGGCTGAATTGAGGACACCGCTTGCGGTAGATCGACAGGTTGACACCATGTGAGTGCCTCTTCATAGTAGACACAAAACAATAGGAGTATGCATTCCGGCAAATGGAACTCCCATAAACTTCCGTTTATTGATCACAACATGTTTGTTTGTTTGGTTGGTGGCCTAATTTGATTGTAAGAAAGTTCATGCCACCCAGAAACGCAGAAACGCACAGACCAAGTCTAGACCAGACACCATGTCCCCCGTTGTCCCGGCTGTCGACCTCTACGGCCGTCAGGTCTGGCACCAGACCCGCGGCACCGCTCTCTACCTTTGGCGGCCGTGCCCGCCGAGCGATGCCTTCGTCGCGCTGGGCATGGCACGGGCTGCCCAGAGGTCACGAAGCGGTGTCGGGAGCGCCGAGGTGCACGAAAAATCGAAAAAAGGGAACGGGTGACGTGGCGCACCAAAAGCTTCCAAGAAGAGGTTTGGAAAGTAGATGAAGCAAGGATCCAGTTTACAATTGGGAGTCTCACTCAGTCTCGATCAACAGCTAGCAGCAGCCCTATCATGATCATTTGTCCCTTCCCCGATTGGATCTCCATGGGATCGATCTTCACCACCTGCCCTCACCGCCCTCACCACCGCCCCGACGCTCACCGTCCTCGATGCGACGATTCAGGTGGCCACCTTGAGCTCCGAGCCGCCGCCGCTCAGCGCCGCCCGCTGCGTTTGCAAGAGCTTCTGTCGCCCGAGCACGGAGGCCGGCGGCGGCGTGGAGGGCAGTGGAGGGCAGGGACCCAAAAGCTGTGGGATCAAACCACGGGTCCCAAGGAGGGAAGGGTGTTTTCTGTGTTTTTATGCGTTTTAGAGTGCGTTTTAGTGATTCTGAAGATGTTTGCTTCCCACTATGGTGAGGACTTCTTGGTAGAGTTGGGATATTAATCTGTTTGAGGAGGGAGTCGGAACAGATTCTTCAGGGGGTCCTGAGTCCCTATTGCGAAGAAAGCTGCCACGTAATGCAACTTGTACCTTAATGGTATGTCTCTAGCACCGGTTGGTCAGACAGATGGTGTGCATATCAAAAGTACACAGGTAGTCCAACAAGCTCAAGAGCTTGTGGGACTTATTCTGTGATAGATTTGCACGGTTTGCCATTCAACCAATCCCATTTGGATCCAAAAAAGCTTTGCTTCGCTCGAACGCACACAGACTATCACTTTCTGCTCAGCGTTTCCTTGTCCTCACCTGTCCTCGCTGATGTTTTTCTTCCTCATCTGTCCTCAACTCATCGATCTCGTCCCCCCCAGGTGCCGCTGCAACTCTGGGACGACAGTGGAAGCGGTGGGAAGCCCGCGCGCGGCAGCTCAGGGCGGGCGAAGCGAGACGGGGAGTGGGCCAAGGGGCGTGGAGAAAGAAGAGATGTCAAGGTATTGTGTCATATTAGATCATATTAGATCATAATGTTACACATTGACGTGATCATCCATGCTTTCCAATCCATCAAGGGCGAAACCGATGCGAAACCAACGCCATGACCTCGAAGGGACCTCGAACCGAATGCGAAACGCTGAAGAACACAGCCGCGGCGGAGACTCTTCGCCGAGGTCCTTTTGGCTCGTGAACTCGGCGCAGGCCGGGTGACCGGTCCGACCGGTGACCGGGAACGGGGTTCCAGGTGGGTTGCTCCGACGCTTGGGGCGCCGTGACGGCGTAATGAGCTCTCTAAGTAGCTGTTCCACACAAGAGATGGAAGAAACCCATGGAACCATGGATTTCACATGGTTTCCACATGATTTACAACCATGAACAACTCGCATCATCCTTTTTGCACGATCCTGGCAGGTCCTGATAGGTAGAGGTCACATCTATCTCCCTGCCGGTGCACCGTCCGCAGGTCTTATGGGCTTCGGTGGGCCACAACCCACCCCACGAGACCTTCTGGGACCGGATCCAAGGGGTGGCAGGGGTGGCACCTGCCTTGGAAGAGGGGGGTTGAAAAGGGAGTATAGATCGCACTGAGTTCATTACCTGATTGGAATCTTCGGATGTCATGGTCATGGTCATCGTCATATGTTTGCAATCGGGGGGGCACAGTATCCCCTTGTTCTATACGTCAAAGATCGTATACGATGATTCCAGGGAGGTGTACTCCAAGTCACCGACCTCAGATCCAGTGGGTTTTGCCCGGACGTTGGCTCACGGGCCTCAGAAAGCCACTCAAAAGTCAGAGGTGAGGTTCAATGGGGGAAGGACAGGGCTTGAGCCACCCACAAAGGCTTGTCAATTTGCATTTGGCAGCATTGTTTCAACATGTTCAGCAAGCACCTGCAAGCAACTATAGGAACATGTCTGTCATTGGTGCCAGCAGTTCCATTTGTGGAGGTGCCCAAACTTGGAGGAGATTTAGGAGGGCGCGCCCCCCCCCTGTCACATCCACTCACCGTTCATACCGTTCATGGGACTCACAAGTATTCCGACCTGGAACTGGCTGCTGTTGCAGATCCGAAGGGCCATGGAACTGGTCCTCTCCGGTCTCCCCAAGCGCCGGCAGTGTGAGGAGTTGGCTGCCGAGAGCATCACCTTCGACTACTTGGGTCGTCCCTCGCTGCACGTGCCATGGCAGCGGTTCAGCGACGGTGGTGGAGACGGTGCGCCGGGGGGCAATCAATGGCCAGGGCGGTGCTTGCCCTAGTGTCGAGGGAGAGAAAGTAGATCAATCCGAGGACCTTCCATGTCGCAGTGATGTGTTTGGGACACCCCGAATCACCGCGAATGATTGAATGAGGCGTTTTCTTCTTTTGAGACCCCGAACGGAGGGTCCCGGTCTACGGTCTACGTGCCGCTCGTCTCTTCTGTTGTACTTGTCTCTTCTGAACCCTTATGTCAGTTTCAACTTTTTGCATCACCGACATGTGTTATAATTTTTGTTGCCATCCCAAAAAAGGCTCAGAAAGGCAATCATAGCTATGGTTTGGACTCTCACAACTAGGGTATCCCACCTCAAAATTAAGCCAGCATATGTGCCAGCAGTGTGAAGGTCCATATGAGCCCATCAGCCTCCAGCCTCTGGGATCAATCGTTTTGTTTGACCGGTCTCGGTTGACCTGGTCGGTTTTGTTTGACTCGGCGTTCTGGATGGGACTGGCGACTCGGTGTGAGCGGAACGCTGTTTGATCGCATTGCTTCATGGAGAAATGGGATCTTCAATGCATGAATCAACAGGCAACTAGAACTTGGAAAGGGATGAATTCCAAACATCAAAATCAGTTGCCATGCTTGCTCCTTTGACATCTCTTCAAACCAAAACCATTGACACTCTTGCAATATGGTATATTACAATATAATATTAGTATACGTATAAATTATATATACTATATATACAGATATACATATTACTTACTACAGTATATACATGTCAATGTCAAATTAATTCAACAAGATGACATAGGATAATTTGATCTGCTCAGAGACCCGACTGCAGCCGCCCAGGTCGTTCACGATCTGCAGCCGCCCGGCACGCCACGAAACACTGAAGCAGGGAAGCCCAGGTGAGCGTGGAACCGGTCAGCCATTGGCAGAAGAGCTTCTGTTGGTGACCTCTTTGGAGTGCCCTGTTGGTGAAGCCTTTATAGGCGCGTAAGTGTCAAACTGAGATGTCAAGTGATTGAGGATTGAGGCTTGGATTCTGGTTGGATGGTTTTTCATGGGTGTTCGGAGTTCGACGGGTGCTTCGGGTTTGTGACCAGTGACCAAGTGTACGTTGAATGGGGGTCCAGCGTGGGAAGACTCTCAAGGCTGCTTAGAAATGTGATGGTGCGACACCGTTGGGAAGAACCACGTTTCAAGTAGGAATTGCACACATACACCCAATAGTCAATAGTTCATTAGTTGGAAGTTCAAAGAGTCTGTTTGTTAGAATGTATTTCAGGTTGCGTTGTGGTCTAGGGGGAGGAAATCAAAGCTTTATAACGGTGAATTATTTTCTATATACTTAAATTGGTTTGACTCGTTTCAAGATAGGGGTATCTCAACAAATAGATAGATCAACTTGCAAAATCACATATTCAGGCCAAACATCATCCAGCAAGGTCCCCCCCGGTTCGGGAGATTTGCTTTGCAGGGAGGTCTTTGTGTGAACCCCGAAAAGGAGGGAAGGACGTTTGCAGAGTCAAAGCTAAATTTAAAGCAGACTGAGTTTGTTCAGACCTTGGTCAGACCACGCGCACCTGTCAAGAAAAATCCCTGTAGGATGTTGACGAAGGGATCCTCCAAATCTCCAACTGTTTCAATTTCGATCCAGATTCTTGTTTGCGCTAACGTCATCCTTGGGTAAACCGGGAGAAACACCAGTAACCTGACCGCTTCTCGTTTTTAACGGGAACTTTTGGTCAATCTTTGTAGGTGCCAGGATGGTTGGCAGAGTCAAAACAAGTCGCCCCCCCAAACCAAACACAAAAAACTTCTGGATACTGACGGGAGTGAGCTTGCAGGCTGACATACATACGTAGAACCCAGGTTTCGTAACTATGAAAGATACGCTATACGCTGCAGGTGCTGGTGGTTGCTGTGTGTTTTATCCCCTTTGCTCTTTACGGAGGAGCGCGAAAACTCGCACACGTCGTACTTGAAGGATGTTTGAACACCTATAACTATACCTATATAGGTCATGAGACATGCTGCTCACTATCCAACTTTTCTCAGAACTCGTGGTCGTTTATGGACAACCCTTAACATCCAAAGTGTGCTTGACAGAGATTCCAAGGAAAGTCTCAGCTCTAGTGGTGTTTTCCATGTGAATTATTGTGAATTCGTATCAATGTTGGTACAACTTGTACCTTCATGATCTTTCATGTCCTTTCCCTTGAAAAAAACGGTCCGCGATCTCTGGCTCCACCTCTTTATTAGCACGAAACGGAGCGACCCAGCTCAGCTCCGCCAGCGCTGACAGAAGTCGCCGTGTTAGGTGGAAGTGGAGACATCCTCCTGGTCTTTGACGAATCTCTTTTCCTCGACCAATCGTCGTAAATCCTGAGCTAGCCAAAGAGCTAAGCTGCACGAGCTGCGCGAAGTTCCACACCGCGGCTGGGCCGTTTCAGTTCCCGTTTCCGCTGGAGGTGCTTCGTTCACCTCCTGCTGTGAGTGGTTCGTTTGAGAAACTGATCCACCACGGATTGAGCCTGTCAACAGGTGAAGCTCACATGGGCAAGTCGTATCTTTTTCTGATCCGACAGGCGGAGATGCAGAGCCAGATGCAGACTGGCTCCATGCAGACTGGTGGCACAAAGTTTGTGGCCACGAGTCCAAGATTGTTGAGGGGGAGTTGCCACGTGGTAGGACCGGCCAAAGGAGAAGCTCAACGTGCTTAACCATGCTTTAACGTATAGAACGAACTATAGAACAATAGCTTTGATAGAGATGAGGAGGTGGACATGTTGAACAGGACCGGTCTTTGAATGCTGTGAATTCACGTTGTGTTCATTGTCAACCAAGTAGAGAATTGTTGAAGTATGTATTGAAGTTGGTTCAGTTTTATGTTCAAGCAATGGATGCGGAGAGTTGTTGAAGTTTCCAAGATCTCCTTGGTAGATCTTAGTAATAGTAGATAGACCTCTTGATGTTTCCCAACAAACTTCCTAGTGTCTTCGGCCACAAAGAGGTGCAGATTCTACCACTGGCTTGCTTCTCACTCACACTGCGCGTGATTGATTGCCAGAAAAAAGGGGAGCGAAGCGGTTGCCCCAAATGCCCGCAGCGACGCCCGCCGCGATCCGAACCCCAACCGACCCGGCACGACCGGTGCGGTGCGTCACTCTTCGGACGACGACCTGGGCGGACGACCTGCGCACCGAGCAAGCCGTGGACTGGCCGTGCGGAGTGGGCCCCCGTTCCACACGGCCAGGACAAAGGGAAGGAGGAAGGGAACAGGAAGGAGGAAACAAGGCATGCGTCGAAAAGGTTGGGCAACTCGCATTCCGCAGCTTTGCTTTGGCCTGGATGTTTCCGCTTCTCAGAATGCTCCAAGGGAACTGACCACTTGCACGACAGACAGCCCTGCCACGCACGACGTTGCGGCGTTTCAAGCGGCCCGACATCCTTGCCCTTTCCCATCTCGTGGTCTTTGCAATCCAGGCACCGCCTCCTTCAAAACCGAACACCCAACGTCTCCCTATCCCCACCTCCATATACCGACCGACGTTTTCGAACCTCTTCTGGCGCGACGTTTGCTTGGGCGTGGTGTGTATAGCTGTCAGCCGTTGTTCCAGCTGCGAGTTAGTTATTGCTGGCCTTTTCCTTGCAGTGGGGAATCTTGAGGTCAGATCCACGCGTCAATCTCACATGTCATGTCATTCCACCTGTCCATGACCAACATCGCGACATATATCGCTACACACCGCCCTCCTCGCTACCTTGCTGCGACGGAAGACGCACGACGTGGACGAACGAAGCATTTCGATGCAGCCAAGACAATAGGAACAGATTACATGGATGCAAGCACCCCAACCCTTGGGTTCGGATACTGGAGGTGTAGGTGAAGTGACGCGGTGCAAAAGGGGACGTTTTTTTTTTTTTTTTAAGACGCGCAGTAATTAATATCCTCGGAAGGAGTGAAGCGCATGTCTCGTTCAAGCATGTCAGTCTCGTTCCAAAGCGAGCTTGGCGTGAAGGTGAAGACGTCACTGGTTTCGTTACAGCGCCGGAGGTTCGAAGCTCGGATGTTCCCGGGACCGGTCTGCGGAGTGCCGGCGTACGTTCTCTATAGCGCCGTATATGCTCGGTGCAGATCCAATGAAGCTCATCACCAGGAGTCGCATGGAGTTAGGTGCCGAACTGGGCGCGTTTTGGGGGCTTGCCCCCAGTCACATGGCACCTGGATGGGACACTCCCAACTCCAGACTCCTGGGGACTCTGGACGACTTGCATCGTTTTGTGGCTGTGGCTCAGACGACTTGGATCGTTTTACGACTAACTCGCCCATATGAGACTTCCTCCTCCCCCTTTCCTCTGAACGGAGTTCCTCCTCCCACGGGGGAACGGATCGATCTTCACTTCCAGAAGGAGGTCGTGGAAAAAAACCCTGTGACAGTGCAGTGCTTGGATTTCTGGGCTTTGTGCAGTGCTTCATTGCAATTCGTTGACACTTGTCTTTTTTGGATGTCCAATCCAAGTTGTTTAGATGGCCACAGGTGGTCGGTTGATCGCAATTTCCCACCCAATGAGTGCTTGACCCAGCTCCGCTGTTCGTTTCCACTGCCCTGCGGCCTCCATGATGCCGCCACCCACAGCACCCCGGTGACTCAGCGCGCTCCCGCGATCCCCCGGTTCTTCGACGTCGACGACGGAATTAGGCGAAGGGGGGAAACAGACTGCAGGGGTTATACAAGTACGCTACTGCTACTACTAGCAAAGGGCATCGCTTGTTTTTCGAGCAAGGACGCTACGAACGGGGCTCCTGGCCTTTACTAGGAGCAAGGACGCTACGAACGGGGCCCGCCATGGATGAGCCACTTCCCCCCCTGACGGTGAAGCGCAAGAGCAGTGAAAACATGTGAAAACGCAAGCACGAAAGCACGACGAACATGGCAACAGGAATCGGTAGCACTCGTCAGCAGATGTTTAAAGTGTGACAACCTGGTTGTTTGATGTTGTTTGGACGTGAGAGTTACCACTAAAAACTGTAACAACTTGTGATGAAACAGACTATCATACATCAAAGGCACAACCAACACACAAGCTCCCCGTCAAGTTTCTCCAGTGAAGAAACTATCCTTTCCGTGAGCTGTGTGAGCTGGCAGGGGAGCCAGCCACTGTTGATGAAAGCCTTCTGTTGGAAGAGATCCTATAAACCTGCCAGATGCGGGATGCTGGTTTAAAACGTCTGCTGTATTTCAGTCAACCGTTCTTCCTAGGCACGCCAATTCCAGAAGGATTTTTCCGGTGAGCGACAGCACCCAAAGCGCCTTCAAAGAACATGAATTAAGAGAATTGTTGACCTGGTGTTGTAGTCTAGAGTCCTTAGTAAAACAATGGTCGTTTGGCAAAGACCATCAAAACAATTGTTTTTGGAATCCCAGGTTTTCGGAGCATTGAAGGGCCACATCGTTAAACAAAGCAACAGTCATGTGCATTGAACTGTCGAAAGCTTTCTCTCGCAGCTTGTTGTGTTCAACTGGTTTTCCGTTTTTCCATCCAATTTCAATTCCAGCAGCAGCGCATACGTTACAATCGGTTGCCACGTTGCCAACCTCAGAACTTTGGACGTTGCCACGACGTATACGCATTTGTGTGTGATTGCCAACCATAGCGAACAGGTGTGCTTTCAAGTTGATAGGTCTGTTGCAATTAACGTTGTAAACTGTAAATGTCATAAACATAGTTCATCATGCAGAGGCGCCGTGCCATTTGCTTCGTGACTGCTTGATATTTGGTAAGCCTTTGTTGTCACATCAGGTGAACATATAACATGTTTCACTGGTTGTGCCAAGCATTGCTCAGCAACTCAAATTGTTGTCGACGCCTATATAATTGAATCGATTGTTCCCCAAGTGTCAGGAGAGGGTTGTTAACATATAGAGGATCCAGCCTCATCCTTTCTGTTTGTGTTTGTCTCCTCGTCCTCTCCTTTCAGTTCCGCAACTGCCAGCTCCACATCGCAGCGCCTCCACAGCAAGATCGCAGTTGGCATTACTGCAAACACCAGATCCCAGTGGGCACTACCGGACCCCAACTGCAAGCTCCAGATCCCAGTGGGCACTACTGGGCCCCAACAGCAAGCACCAGATCCCAGTGGGCACTACTGGGCCCCAACAGCAAGCACCAGATCCCAGTGGGCACTACCGGACCCCAACTGCAAGCTCCAGATCTGAGTGGGCACTACCGGGCCCCGACAGCAAGCTCCAGATCGCAGTGGGCACTACTGCGCCCCAACAGCAAGCACCAGATTCCAGTGGGCACTACCGGAACCCAACTGCAAGCTCCTGATTCCAGTGGGCACTACGGAGCCCAATTGCATCCTGAACCCCAACTGCACGCTCCAGATCGCAGTGGGCACTCCTGGGCCCCAACTGCGAGTTCCAGATCTCAGTGGGCACTCCAGGACCCAAGCTGGTCCATATGTCACATCACATGCCAGACCGGAACAATGTCAGAACACACCAAAAAGGACGTCAGAACACAGGCCACACACAACCCATCACAGCCTAAAACATGTCCCGGTCTAAATTTAGATATTTGATGTGTTGGAAGCCGAAGAAAGGTTTGCTGCCAGAACAAGTACTCTGTCAATACATATTTTCAACGTTTCTCCGACAAGCAGTGCATATGTAGGTTGCACAACCCGTTCTATAGAGAGGCAGCTGGCACGCCAACACACCATCTGGTATACATTGTGCATCCTTTATCCTAGCTAGCAAGACTCTTCGATAGAAAACAATTCCGGACAAAAGCCGGCTATCATTTTTTGCGTTGTCAACTTCCAAACAATAACCGGCAAGCACAAATAATATTGCCGTAGCCTTTGTGTTACCTAGTGTGGACGAAGGAAAGAAGGAAGGAACGTAAGAAAGAAGGAAGGAAGGCAGGAATGGTTTTGCCCAAACACTGAGTTTCAATCATGTCAAACAGACTATTTATGACCATTTATGATTTGGACGCACCAAGTCCATTTTTTTGACATTGGACCAGCCAAGTCACGTCGGGATAAATTGGCCTGCCGGGAGATCTGCGAGACTCTAATGAGCAACAAGCGAGCAGCGATGCAGCTCTTGCAGGTGACTTCGGAACAGGATGTGGGGACCGAGGAGGAGGAAGAGGAAGGGTTGTTTTTTGCCTGCTGCGATTGACCTCCAGCATTTCAGTCGAACAGGCCAGACGATTTCAGTTCCGGGTCCATCTCCGCCCCTCCTCCTCTGTCAGGTGGCAGTGTTTCCTGCCGTACCTCCATTGCGAGCCAGGAGGTGTGCCAGGCATTGCCAGGCAGAACGCTGCCACAAAGGATGCCAGAAAAATGTCAGACGATATGCAAAAAATGCCAGA